TGCAGGTGGGAATGGTCATATGACCCAGTTCTGGTCAGTGAGACAGAGCGAAGTCTGCAGGGTAACTTCTGGGGAAGATTTTTCTCCCATAAAAGGAGACCTTTTGTCTTGCCTTAAATGTGGTCGAGTGAAAACATGACATTTGGTCCTGAGGCAGCCATCTTGCAAACCATGAGGTAACAAGCCTGAGGATGAAAAGCCAACATGCCAAGGACAGCAGAGCAGAAAGAGAGAACAAAACATGGGTAAACTCGTGTGAAGTTGTGATTTATAACAGGAAATAAATATTTGGTCTTCCTCCCATTCCTGGCACAGAGGTCCTAAAACCCTTGGAACTTCCTGTGATGAGAGTGACAAAGGTGTTTTTTGTTACATCAATGACATGACTTTTGGATCACCTAGGGATGGGGGCTGGGTGCCAGGGGAACCAACCAGAAATAGAGATTTGGAACTCTCAATCCCACCGTGATTTCTGAGGAGCGGGGAAGGGCTAGAGGTTGAATCAATCATCAATGGCCAATGATTGAATCAATCATGCCTATGTAATGAAGCCTCCATAAAAACCCAAAAGGAGGGGATTCAAGGAGCTTCCAGGTTGGTGAACCTGGAACTATGTACTACTGTGCCAGGCCCCAACTTCCACAGGGACAGAAGCTCCTTTATCCAGGACCTCCCACGCATGTTCTCATCTGGCTGTTGACTTATATCCTCTACAGTCCTTCAGAATAAACTTGTAATCTAGTGAGTAAACTGGTTTCCTGAGTTCTGTGAACCATTCTAACAGATTTATTGAACCCAAGGAGCAGGTCATGGGAACCTGTGATCGATAGCCATATGGTCAGAAGCATAGGGAAAAACCTGGACTCAAGCCTGGCATCTGAAGCGAAGGGCCATCTTGGGACTGAGCCCTTAACTTATGGTATCTGATGCTATCTCCAAGTAGATAGAGTCAGAATTGAGTTGAACTGTAGAGCATCCAGCTGGCATCAAAGAATTGCTTGGTGGTGTGGGAGGAAAAAATCTACACATCAGAATTGGTACCACAATCCTGAACTTCTCACTGGGGAACTGATACACCAAACCTGAAACAACCTTCCTCCAGGCTTCTTGTTATGCGAGATAAGTAAGTGTTGAACTTTTAACCCATGGTTAATCAGTGTTGGGGCAATGTCCATTTTCCTGGTCTCATGTTCCACGTGGAAGGACTTCAGCCAGAGTCTCACTCTGGCTGCTCAATCAGACAAGTGACTTACAGGCGGACTTAGCGGAAGGGACTGAGCTCCTTCACCTCAGCCCCCTTCTTATCCTATCTGAAACCATCTACTACACAGAGGTATACTTTGATTTTCTCTCTATGATTTAGCAAGGTTAGTGGGGCTGACCCTGCTCTCATTGAGAGGGCCTGTGCTGCCAATGACTAGAAGAGATGGAATTTCTAAAATGGCCCATGAAAATATCCCACCCTAATCCCCAGGACCTCTGCTATAATGAGCTATCACTCCCACGACTGATATATCATATGACACAGTTGACCTTAAGATATGGAAATTATCCATGTGAGCCTAATCAAATCACATGAGCCCTTAAAAGCAGGGCACTTTCTCAGGCTAGTGGCAGAGGAACAAAGGGAAGTCCGAGAGATACAAAACACCAGAAGAATTCCATGTTGGCTTTAAAGATGGAGGGGCCATGTGCCAAGGAATTCAGACATCTCCTAGAAGCTGAGCATGGATGACCTCCACCTGACAACTGGCAAGGACACAGGAATCTCAGTCAGTCTTATGACCAGTGGCAACTGATTTTTGCCAAAATCTGAATGAGTTTGGAAGCAGATTCTTCCCCAGATCCAGAGCCCAACCCAGCCCACACCTTCATTTCAGCCCCATGCTATGCTGAACATAGCACCCAGACAAGCCCACCCGGACTTCTGACCTAGAGAACTGTGATACAATAAATGGATGTTGTTTTAAGCTTCTGCACTTGTGATAATCTGTTACACATCATTAGAAAACTAATACAGCGGGGAAGTCCTTCTGATTCAGGGGGAAGTGGTTAATAAGTCTTTTTAGCATCAAAACCAAAGCTACAAGGCACCTGGGTGGCTCGGTCAGTTAAGCATCTACCTTCACCTCAGGTCATGATCTTTGGGTCCTGGGATGGAGCCCTGCATCAGGCTTCCTGCTCCTTTCTCAGTCTGCTTCTTCCTCTCTCTCTGTACCTCCACTTATGCTCACTCTCTCTCTCTCTCAAACGAATAAATAAAATCTTAAAAAAAAGAACTACATCCTCTGATCAGCTTATCAGCAATAAAGCTGACATCTTAATCTTCATCTGACTCCCATGCGTATTTCTCAATTATTTCTGATTTCAGAAGGGGAAAAAAGGGAAGGGAAAAAAGGTTTTATTTATTCATCCAATATAAACCCCAATAGGCAGATATTGTATTACTCTGCAGCCAAAAGCATCCCTAAATAATACATTAACCTCCAGCAACTCTTTAAAATGAGGCTCAGAGCTGGGATGTGGTAGAAAGACCCAAATCATGCCACCTCAGAACACAGGCATCCAGAAGGCTTATTTTATATTTTATCTTTACATTAAAAATCGTCTCTTCCCTACAGCGGAGAGAAAACACAGCAGATGAAGAAAAAGACTTAATCCTTGAATGGGTGGGGGGAAAATTGTACCTTCCCCACAGGAACTAAAAATCCATAACCCCCAACTTCGTTGGTTTATAAAATTTTCAATTTTCAAGTAATCACCTAAGAGTAGCTGGCCTTTGAGATGTCGTTTAAATGAATGGCAAAGCGCTTTGAGATTTTCCACCAAAACTACAGGCAGCCAGTGAAGTGCAGATGGGTTGTTTGTGTATTCAGGAAGTGCGCTTCTACTCCTCCTGGAACTCAGTCACTCCTTCCAACAGCACCCTCCTCCAGTGCTCTGCAAATGCATACATCGCAGGCTGCCAATTCGATAATATACTGCTATTTCCTTCCTAAAAAACTCCCAGTCTTTGATGGCGCTGCAAGGAATTGAGTGCGCCATCAGCATAAAAATGAAATGCAAGGTTTTTAAGGCTCTGTCCCAGAGTCCTTTGAACCATCCATCTGAGAGGCAGCTTTAAGGGAAGGAGATGAGTACTCCTTCCCTTAAAATTAGTTTGAAATTCATTAGGGGAAACTAAGTCCCCAAATTCAGTAGCAGATGTGGTCACAATGACTGCAATCTCTTCCTTCATTTAGAATATAGTAACTAATTTTTTTTTCCTAAAAGGGGTACTTCAAAAGCTTTTAGTGCAACCCTTTCTTTCTACAAATAAGGAAACTGAGATCTAGAGCAGCTACATAAAATTAAAAATGCTGGAGCAGTCATTTTTCCATCTGAATCCTGTTCTTCTGAGTGTTCAATCCTCTCCACCTTGAAGGGCCATGAGGCCCTGGCTAACAGGGCACCTCCGAGAAGCTCAAAGCAGCTCTTGGAGACGGGTTTGGAGATGGAGCCTTGCCATGTCTGGTTTAGGGAAACCTAAACATCTGAGAAGCAGAGAAGTTGAGCTCTGACGGTTTCCATGGTGACCACTGAGCCCAAGTGCATGCTCTAATGAGCCAGCTGGGCAAGCCAGCACCTGGGAGCAAAGGTTGGGGGACATTCCAGGAACATCCACACGCCACTGAGCTCCTCAATTGAAATCTGAATGGGTGGCTAGGCTGCTAATAAGGGCTTTTTTTGGGAGACAGATACACAGCAGATCTGAATGAACTCTATATATCTGGCCCTGTGCCAAGCTCTCTTCCACACATTATTTCATTTAATCATCACCAAAACCTTCTAAAGTGGATTCGAATTCTACCTTCCTCTTTCTCACCGATGAGTAAACTGAGGCCGCTCACCCAGGATCACTGAGCTCATAAAAGGCAGCTCTAAGCTAGTTCTCCTGCTCCATTCTCCCACGCTCACAAACCTGAAACCGCTCACCTGGGGAGGTCCCCTGTCTTTTTCTAAAGAGAAGTCCTGATTTCTTGTCTCAGAAAAACAAGTGCACATTAGAACTCACCACTGATCTATCTTTGCCCATCATTGCCAGATTCTGAAACGGTCTCAAATTGTCATTTTTAAAAATTAAGTCATCATCAGAAACAACTCCCTGAAGAAGGTTTGAAAGACTCGAGAACTAGGTCAACAATGAAAAAGAGAGCAGAAATGATGTTACACCTGAGTCAAACAAGCTTTCTGTGAGATCATATGAGTAAGTGTTAGTTAAAGGGCATTGAGAACCCCAAGCCAATCACATCTGCTCCACAACCTGTCACTGAGGACAGGAATGCCACCTTTAGTAAATAAATTCCTTGAGTTGAGTTTTTGTCCCTTGGTTAAAGGCAAGTATTCTCAGGAAGAAAAAAACCCACTAAGATATTGGCAATCATCAACACCTTAGTATAAATTAGTACATCAGTGTACTATTGCTGAGAGAGCACTCAGAAGTGAGAGGACAGAGAGGGTGGGGCCATGAAGAGATGGATACAAAGCACAACGCAGTATCTGGAAAACGCATGCTTCTGGAAGAGGTCCCAGAAGCCAGGATCAGCTTAAAGACCCCGGACTTGGAAATAAAAAGGAGTGAAGAATTTCCAATAACAAAACAAATGGATTTACTTCTCTACTTTATTGCAAATACACTTAGAAACCCATCTTCCATCTTTAAGATGGAACTGAATATGTCTCTCATCTTTAGAAAACCTTGTTTTGGCACACCTATACTTAACCCTCTTGTGTTGTGATTCCAGAAATACCACTGTAAATAAGGAAACTGATAAAGAGAAGTTTAGGCACAGTACTTGTGACTACCATTGGCCAAAACAGAAAATATAATTATAACATTAAACTCTTCCGTTAAAAGTGACAATGATATGATAACACCGTAATCATTCCTTCTGGATCCCATCAGGCTAAAAAGCCAGTTGGATCGCAGAGTTTAGGGTTTAAATAGATGCAGTACTCACTCGAAAGACCTTCTCCACTCTTGCAATGCTCTTCCCAAAAATGGTTCCAAGTTGGTCTCCAATTCCAGCTAATAAGAAACCAAAGAGCGGAATTCCAAAGATGGCATATAAAATACAAAAGATTTTGCCTCCTTCAGTGCTTGGAGCAATATTCCCATACCCTGGTGAGAAACAGTAAAAAGAGAAAGGGAGAGTGGTGAGGTGGTAGAGAAATCAGAGAGCTGAACAAAAGAATCCACAGATTTCTTGAAGGGTTTCTGTGCTCCCCCACTTCACAAGCTTCCGGGAGCAGAGCATCATCAAAAATCTAACATTCAGAACATTGTTCCATTACTTCTCTCCTTTCTCTCCCTGGAAACAGTTTTAAGGAGATCCAGCCTTCCTGGATCTTAATGTGTTTAATTAGATTACATTTTAGGAAATTCGTAGTCACCCAGAATTGCACTGCTGATGAAAACAAGTATCATCCATTTCAGAAACACCAAATATCTTGGTTCAGGGGTTCAGGGAGACCTGAAGATCCAAGGAGCGTTCACCATTGCCCTTTTTAGATTGGAAAAGAGCTTCTCCTTTACAGTCTCTTCCCATGAGCAACCCCTCCACTTGACAGACTGGCTGTCTTCAACATTTGGCTTTATAGGGTGATGGGTGCTCCGCATTAGGCAGGATATGTGGTCTAGCACAAATTCAGAAAGGACTCATGGATCATACAGCCCTGAGAAGCCTGAAAACAGAAGAACAGGGAAGGAAAACAGTGCCTCTTCCTGCATTGACAGTGATGTTTAGCTCTACTTGGCTCTTTTTCTGTTTACTGGGAACTTTCATTGTGTCTGGGTCATGCCTCTCTTCCCACCCACTTCTTTCATCAAGGGCTATCAGGCGCTAAATATATGTTTATTGGTGGAATGGATGTCTGAATATAAAAGAATCTTTTTATAGCCATGTCTATAATATGTATTTCAAATAGTGCTTGAAAACACCAACATCTGCATTCTTAAGAATTCTGCAATTATGTAAGTAACTTCTGTATAGTGAGCACTGGGCTTCCTCTATATGGATGGGGCTAACGGAAGTGGTGCTGGGAAAAAAAGGCTATGGTATTGGCATGATATAGAGAGAGATGAGAATCTAAATTGCTTGATATCCAGTTTCATGTCAATGAGTACTGCAATGTTATGCTAACTAGCATCTGGATAGTCACCCAACTGTTCTCCCATATTAGGGTAACTCAGGTGGGGCCTGTTTCTAAATCCATGAGATGAGTGAGTTACTGGGTTCAAGGCTGTGAGCATGTTAGGGATGCAGCACAGCCAAGGCCAATGTCGATGCTGCCCCATCCCGAACCTCCGATGAGCCTAGAAAACTCTCGCTGCTGCTGTCTGATTTTGGGTGATGAGTCACTTGGCTATTTTCCTTTTCAATTTTCTTGTCAGAATCATTCAAATCTTTTATCAGGAATTATCTAAATTCCAGTTTCCATTTCTCAAATGAGTGTTCAGGCAAGCCTTCCTCATCTTACATTCCTTTTACTCAGCACCCTTTTCACTTAATTGTGCAAAAGAGACTCTTGGAACTTTTTTCAGGTGCTTTCAGGAACTTGGACAAAACCATTTTTCTAGGGGCGCCTGGGTGGCTCCGTCAGTTAAGCGTCTGCCTTTGGCTCAGGTCATGATCCCAAGGTCCTGGGATCGAGCCCCATGTCAGCCTCCCTGCTCAGCAGGGAATCTGCTTCTCCCTCTCCCTTGCACCCTCCCCTGCTCTTGCTCACTCTCCCTCTCTCTCTCTCTCGAATGAATAACATCTTTAAAAAAAAAAATTTTTTTCTAAGTGTTGCCCTCTAGAATAATCTGATTGATACTGAAAAGGGAATAAATGTGCCTACACAGCTTCACTTCACTCAGGTCGATGGGGACCTATGGAAACATCTATGACTCTTGCTTGACTGTCTCAGAGTTGACCGATCACTGTCAGGGAAGGTAGGTTCTCTTTTCGTCTCAATATCTCAGAAGGAAACATGTTGTAGACACAGCACAGGCAAACAAATTGCTGAATAGGCATCTCATTAGCCCCAACAAGAGGTGCACACTCTTTCCCCAGCTTTTGGTGAGGACCTGCCCCACTGCCTGGGTAAGGACTGTGTTCAGGGAATTTCCTGGTATCATCCAAGGGGCATGACAAAGAAGAGAGAAGACAGAGGGTCCAGATCCAATTCCACCTCACTCTACCTGGTTGTCCCCAGAGTCACTTAACCTCCACAGATCCCAGCCTTAGAGGGGTTTGAGGATCATGTGGAAAAATCAGTGAACTGTAAAGGACCATACAAATGCAAAGCAGTATTACTACTAGCAGTATTATTACTACAATTGGCTCCTTATTTAGTCAGTGTTTCACAGACTAGAACACTAAGATAAAGTTAAAGCAAAGCTCTTGGGTAAGGACACCAGTGAAGTAAAATTCAAATAAATCTTTAAATATATTTAAGGCCATCACTTCATACTGGGCATAAGGTAATTGCCATTCTTGAGTAATGCTGTGTTTGTGCATTGTGTTTGTGCCACGTTGTGGGCAACGTGTGTGTGTGTGTGTGTGTGTCCCTTGCCTCTGATGAACTATATGGAAAAGCTGTCCCAGTGGAACCCTCAACACTGTCATTCTAGACTTTTAACATTTTGGAGCTTTGCTCTGAGGCAACAGGAGGGCCACATGCCTGGATATTTGGCTCTACTTTATCGAGACTGTTAGACTGCTCTGCCCATCCATCCAGGATCCTTGGCAGAACTTTGAAGGAGGGGGTGGTGGTCATATAGGCTCAAGACTGGAGACTGCAGGGCTTCCTGTTCTGACACTTCCACTTCCTGACTCTCAGATCTTGAGGATTTCCCTAACCTTTCTGCCTCACTCTCCTCCTCTGACATGGGGCTAAAGATAGCACCTGCCTTTTGCTATTAAAGATGAAATGAGGAGCGCCTGGGTGGCTCAGTCGGTTAGGCGCCGACTCTTGGTTTCAGCTCAGGTCGTGAACTCAGGGTCATGGAATCAAGTCCCACCACATCAGGCTCCGCGATCAGTATGGAGTCTGCTTGGGATTCTCTCTCTCCCTCTCCCTCTACCCCTCCCCCCCAAAAAAAACACACAAATAAATCTTTTGTTAAAAAAAAAAAGATGGAATGGGTTACATGCAAAGTATGAGTTGCCTGTGGAGATTAAATACAAAAAATCATGACACAAATCATGATGCAATACTTGGTAAGTATTAGCAATTATCATCTATCTTGCCCAGGGTTTTCTGTAGGAAGGAATCACTTCTGAGCAATATTTCTCCGGGAAAACTAAGCCCCAGGAGAAAACAGATGGTTGGTTCCTGTCTTCCATCTGGAAACTCCGCTGTTCTCCCACAGTGCCAGGCCAAGGAACAGAATGTCTGTACCACCAGTGGGGTTGGATCCATGAGTTGGATGGGCCCACCGTTGCATTTGGGGTGTGGGCATCTCTCGGCGCAGCTAGGGGCAGCAACGCTGGGAAATGAGATGGGGTGACATGGCAGCGAGAAAGGCAATTGGTCAGGGAGAACTAGCCTAGAACATGAGAACTGGTTTAAGGAAAGCAAAAGAAGTCGAAAGAGTGACTTCTGGCCAGAGAGGACCAGCCCGGCAAGAAGTGTCTGTTATGAATGAGAAGGACCAAGGCAGGGCTTCACTGTGTTTACCTTTGGCCAGAAAATAGTTCCAGGCCCTTTTTGAAGAGAAAGCTGGTGTTTAAAGGAGGCTGCCTGAGTAGCTCATGTGTAACACTTCCATTTGCTATTTACATGCCAAAGTCAGATCTTTGCCAAACCATGCGCCGTTCAACCCTGTTAACTGGTTAAGAGTGTGTGTTCTAGACCCAGAATGTCTATATGTGCTAAATCGGCTTTCTGGGGGTGAAATCTGTGCACCCACACTAAGAAGGGCCCCATGCTTGGTTTATTGAGCTGCTGTTGCCATTTTGACGTTCTTAACCATTTTTTAGCAAGGGACCGCATTTTCATTTTGCGCTGGGCCCTACACATTACATAGCTGATCCTGGTGAATGTAGCTAGGCTCCACTGCTTACTAGCCGTGAGATATTGGCCAAGTTACTTGACATCTTGGAGCCTCCGTTTTCTCATCGGTCAACTGAGGTTATTAACAGTACCTACTGGATATGCTTAATGAGAGACTAAGATAATTACGTGGAGCCCAGTGCCTGGCACCTAGTGAGCACTCAGTAAATGTTAGCCCCAATGACGGCTATCTCCAAAGCCACAGGTTAGCACCCAGTTCAGGTGCTGTGTAAGTAGAAATAGCTGCTCAGGTACTTTGGCAGGTACAACTCCTAATTAAGGCCAACGGGCAAGTGACAGTTACTAGCTACAGTCTGGGACCTGGCCAGGTGCTCTGTCTGATATGAGTAGAGTCAGATGGTTCAATCCGAAAATGTCTCAAAGACTAAAGTCTACTAGCATTCCATAGCTGTTGATAAGAATGCCATCATTTGCTGCCCTTACAAATAATGGCTTGTGGGAAAGCATCTGAACAAAGGAGTGAGCATCATTCCTCCAGCTTAGAAACCCCAGTTGGTAGGAACCCACCAGCAGAGTCAACAGTCAAGAGCAGGTGGGACTTTCCCACATCAGAATTAGTTACTGAGAGAGGGGACCGGGGACAGCGAGCCCTCTGCAAAGACTGAACAGGGTCTAGTCTTCCTTGGCATTGCTCCTAGTTTGGAGAAGTGCCTGAGCATATGCCCTTTTGCTACACATTTGTAAGCCTTCCTGTATATGTGAACATAAGAAAACATTGTTTAAAAAGAAGTACTTTGATATCTTCAGATAAAAGAGACCTCTGATACTGAGTAGTATCGCTGCTTTTCAGAAAAGACTGTTATTCCTAAGACCTCTCTATACACATTCTAAATAATGAACACATTTTTCTTGTGTCTGAAAGGTACTCATGCGGCTCATGAGAGTCTTTCTAGAAAGCAATTTGGCAAGCCTTTAAAAAGTCCATGCTCTTTGACACCACAGTTCCTTGGGGATTCTCCCAAGGAAACAACCAGAGATGAAGACCACACTTGACACACAAAGATCTTCAGCATGATGTTACACCATCACAAAATAGAAAGAGCTTAAGCCTCCAACAAC